CCGCTCTGACCGGTCAGCAACGGTTACGGTCAATGACCGGTCACAACGGTTATGACCGTGACCGTACCCATCCCTAGGTTAAATCAACTGTTTCATGTGTTTCTGGAAAATAATCTGGAATATGTCTTTTTAATTTTCCATGAATAAACTCTTCTTTACAGTCTTCGTCAAAAGTTGTAGAAACTAAACGAGCAATCAGTGATTTAGAGCTAGTTTTTTTTGGATCATTATGATTTTCAACAAGATAAATTAGTGAATACGGAATATCTTTATTATTTTGTAATGTTTTCGTTATTATATGGCATGCACTTTCTAAAGACTCGGCACCTTAAACCATGCAGACGTGTTAATAAATAAATAACATCACGTTATATTCACAAACGATTTACTAACCAGCAGTCTGGAGTGAAAGGTTGCCAAGAGTTTTTAGTCTCCGATTATTTAAGACGTTTTCAGTGACTTCAGGTGCTATACTAATTACACCCCATACTGTACCATCTAATTTAAAAATTGGACTTAATGCGTAGTCAATGTATGTTTCTTCTTTATAGCCATCGCGTTGTTGTTCAAAATAAAAGTCATGTTTATATATGCCTTTTCCTGATGCTCTTACGCTGTATAGATCAAAATATAAAATTTATTTAAATATTTTAAATTTTATGAATAAGAATTAAAAAAATTTACAATTGTGCATGGGGTATACGATGCACGTGTATAATTTTATTAACGTTAATTTTGTAATTTGCAAATTCGTGTAACATGCCAACCAAACAATTTTTACGACCGAAAATTAAACCCTTGCTTATGGTTAGGGTAAGAGTGGGTTTGGTACGGGAAAAAGTATAGTTTTCATCAAAATTCGCCGGAATTTATTTATTTATTTTTTTTTTGTTAGTTGCCCGTGTACATACACCCGTGTATAAAAATTGACAAAAACAATTAGTTCAATAATTTTAAAAATACCTGTCTAATCTATCAACCAATGTAGGATAATCATGAATTTCAATAGCTGGTTTTCCTAATGCTATATTCATTTAACAAAGTGATTTAATTTAGCCGAGTTTAATAACTATACGGAAGTAAATTATATAACTAACCATGAGGATGCTTTGATTTTAGTGTTGGTATTGCCGCTATACAGATAATACGATTTTTTTATTACATTAAATTATTAAATAGCCAAGTATGCAAATCAAAATTTTAATTACCTTCATTGTATACAGTAGTCCAATCTGGACCCATATATATGAACGTGGGAAAGATAGATTTAAGGCACATTTGCTGAGATTTACAGATAAATTGATGTAAATTACAGAATTATATAAATTCGCATATACCATATCCTACCATAAATAAGCACTAAACCTTCTACCCATTTTTTAAATGTCAGATTAGCGGAAATCGCAATGAAGTCTTTGGCCAAATTATTCCCGCTAATCTGATATTTAAAAAAATGGGGTATAGGGTGTGGTGCTTATTCACGGTATAATACGGTATTCATGATCCTAAAAGTATCGGCAAATTACCAGAGCAGATCTGAATTGAGGCTCCCATGAATGCATAGGACCCAATGAAGTCGATGACCAATCATAATTATTGATCATGTCAATAAAGTTTGAATTTTCATTGTTGTTATCGCTGTTGTTTAGTGACAGTGACATAGCTATAAATGAATGTGGATGTTATAAAAAAGAAGCAATTAATTTTGTTATATCATTAGAAATTTTTATCCTAATCTTGCAAAAATACGTAAAGAAGTTACATACATTATTATGTTAACAACCTGATTTTTTGTCTAAAATTCGTGCTGACAAAACAGTTTTATATCATTTAGCATGATCAATGGGATTTTAAATGTTAATTAGTGCACAGTATCAATACGTAATCATATTATGTAATATTTGTGTACGATTTAAGTTTATTTGTTTGAGTTGATTTAATATTTTAGTGTATCCTCGTGTGCCGCCACATTGCCCATTTTATCCAAAAGGGAAATTGTTTATTCCAACATTTTTATATAGTGCTTGTACTTGAACGTTACGTAACAGTGCTGGTATTTATAATAAAAAAGACATAGAGCTTTGCATTTTTTTTAAATTATTGCTTTTTTTTTTTTTTTTTGACAACACAATAACAGTAAAAATCGAGTATTGATTCTTCTCACGTGAGCTGCATTCAATTTTCTTTACTTGTACTGAATTCATAGCGATCAACATCAAAGAAAAACCCATAGAAAACTTGTTAGATAGCGAACATAGCCCAGTTGTAATAACAAGCGGTCTAAAAGTATAAAAGACCCATCCTTTTACTTTAATAAAGGGGAAAAAGTTACGTTAGAGTTGGTAGAACTCATTAGAGTTCGACTCATAAAGAGTCTAGTATTCTGATTTTAAAGTTTTGCTCTAATTACCCGACAAATCAAATTCGCATAGGGTTAGTAGTCTAAACCCGTGATCCCGAAGTAGAGCCTCGTGACGTAATCCAGAGCTCTATTTGATCCTAATAACTCGGACCAAGTCTTCCACGCCTCTTTCGTGCCTACTACCATTAGGTTTCAGTAGAGTTTGTAATTTAGAGTGATTGTTTAGATTAGTTTTAGAGTTAGTTGATATCCGTGTTGCACGTATTTTGTGATTCCGGATCAGTTCCCACTTTTACAACGCATATACTGTATGTACTGTACGATTTTGTATTTGTGTAAGCATCTTGGGTGGAACACAAGCCGGTGTTACTTATAATTTTTCTGCGTCTCAATTCACCTTATAATTATCAGTTTCCTTATGCCTTATAATCCTCATCTTTGATCATCTCATCCTACGTCCCTTTCTTATTTTGTTTCCCTATCTCATCCTACATTATTACTATATATAGTTACCTCTTATTACTAAATATGGTTATCCTTTTTCTTTATTTATTCCCTATATACCTTTTATTACTATACCCGATTTTCATTCTAAATTTACTCTGTGACGTGTGAAAGTAAATGTTTTGATCCGTGAACAATACTAATTAGTGTAGTTGAACAATCAGGCGTTCACTTATTATCAATGATTGCTGCCGAATGAGGAGATAGTATAATAGATTTAGAAGATTGTTACTTTGGATGTAAATCTTTAATTAGATAAAGACACGAGGGGGAAGTTTAATTGGCGTTGAAGATAAAGCTTTGTGATCAACAATCGAATGTTAGAAGGAAGCGTTTAATCGTGAGTCTGCCATTCTAAGTAACTAACATGTATAAAAGCCCGATGAATTCGCCTTACTTATATCTTTAGAGTAATTCCACCTTTATAATAAAGACATCTGTGTGATTTCTTATCGTATTACGTATTAACTCATACTGCGCACTACTCTTACATATATTCTATCTAAACTCTACATACATAATTGCTAAGTGCATAAATCTATAAATTTATATACTCACATTTATTTAATATAATCCTGGCTTATATTGTTTACTGTACTGAATTAAATCTGCACTTTGTTCGTTAATAGCTCTCCCAACTGACAGTAACACCGGATATCTTGACATTTAATATCTAGTACGAGTATCAAAACTGGAGGTATAAAAACTAATTCTTTTAATATTTTACAAGCTTTTCTTTAACTATAAATAAAATTTCTAAGAAGTTTTTGAAATTCTATCATTTTTATAAATGATTCAATAATATTTTTGATAAAGTACTCATAAACTTAATAAAGGTCGCATATTTTCAGTTAGGACTATTTTATTCTATTCTTGGGATAACTCATCTGGAATTTTCAGAGAAAAGTTTTTTTCAACACGATAGATCAGTGCCCTATAAGGAAAATGTACCTGATTGGCACGGGTCAAGATCCGGATTTGTACGAGTATGATCGAGTTGGTACGGATTCGTTGGACCATGTGGGACCATATGCCGTGCCAATTTGACCGTAAATGGCCCAGGTTTTACAGCAGTTTTACTAGTCAAAACGGCACGGGATTTGGCATGGGTGATGATACGTAAATTCACGCACCACCGCGATAACAAATACAAACATGTGGATTAATAATTAAACAATAAATTTACATCAGTAATCAATAAAATATGATGTAAAATTTGGAAGGAATTTTTTTTGCTAAGACACTCTGAGCAGCTTCATTAGTGAATTTGCACTTTTTTTTAAAGAAAAATCATTTATTGGTCTTTCGCTCTCACAACACATGTGCAACGTACACATACATTTCATCTGAACGTAACGTTCCGTATGATATGAAATAACGTGCCACCCCGTAATGTCTATATCATTTTCCGTGCCATTCCGTAAAATATGCCTGTTCATGCTACGCGACCCGTGCATTTCGTTCCGAAACCAATCTTTATCACAGCCCGGACCAAGGGGTGGCTATTCACAGCTTAAAATAACTTAAGATACTGATTCATCCACTGATATGTCCTTACTACCGTACCGATATGTTTTTGCTTACTATGCGGTGGCATATAAATTTCAAATTTCATATAGATAAGATTAAATCAACAATCCAAATTTAATAATATTTTTGCAAAAGTTATTATTATTTATATCAAAATTTAAATCAATTACTGAATCTACTGTGAACATTCGATAATTATAAGCGATAACTATGAAAGAACCAAATTTATTGCTTTAATGTCTAAAAAATCAAACCTATATTTTATATAGAGTTACTGATTATGATTTTATTTCAATTAAAGTTAAAGTAGTTAACCATTTATGCAAAGTGTTTTTTATATATCTCTCTTTTTCTTTCAGAATCAAATGATAAGGAAATGAAACAAAAAGGACAGATTTGTGTTTTTGCAAAGATCTTATGTCAATACCTTGTATTATTTATTACCAAGTCGACTTCTATTAAGAGATTATGGGGTAAAGAAAGGTTCTTGGAAAGAGCTCTTACCACCATCTTAACTCTTTCAAACTCCAATGTCATTGTCTCCAAATTTAAATTAGTATTCCTGTACAGTGCATCTATCATTACTTTTATTCCTTCAAACCAAATTATTATTGTTATATAGGTCCAAGGAGATCAGAAAAGTGTTTCTGCAAAGAGCTTTTGAAAATACTTTGCTTCATTAATTCCAAATTCATTACTACTAAGTTTAAAAGAAGTTATCGTGGTTTTTTTGTAAAGAACCTTTGTAAGTGCTATTCCACCTTCAAAATTAATTTCATAATAACAAATTCTGTAGAAACAAAGGTTGTATTTTTGCAAAAAATTTCTGCAAATGTTTTTATTTCTTCATATATAATTTTATTCGAGGATGATTTAGTGTGGATAAAATTTATTCCCATAAAGAGCCTCTAATAATAGTTTTACGATTTTAGAACCAAGTCCACAATCATAGAGCTTTAATGAATTAATCTAAAATTTTTACCAAGAACATCTGCCAGTGCTTTTGATTCTTCAAAGCTAAATTCAAGATCGAACGAATAATTAGTAGTGTTTGAATAAAGAAATTTTCTAATAGTTTCTTTACTACTTTATAATTAATTTCAGCTATATCTCATGTTTAATCCTTTTACTTGTCCACAATATCATTACAATTAAAGAACCTTTAATTATTTGAATTACAACCCAAAATTCCTACAATGCACATCAAAATTACAAAATTCATTTCCTCATGACAAAGTATTTTTACGATTTATCAATCTAGCAGATAACATTAAATTCTATCCACAGGTATAAATTTATACTCACATGTGTTTTCGGTGTTCTGCAAGCATCCTGTAAGTCACTTTTTACGTTGTTTGTTTCAATAAAAGAATAATGTTGCAATAATAAAAGAAGTATCTTATCTTTGAGTGTTTAGCTCAGGTTTTTAATTTTAAAATTTATTCTAGAAATTTTACGGCATAAAAAAACCTGTCTTATTAGGACTAAGTTTATTTAAATTTCATTTTTAAAATTAAAGTAAGAATTATTTCAAGATAATATAATATTAGCAAATCGATTTAAGAAACTAAAAGACAAGAACGCTCACGTTACTTATTGCTAATATACACCATTCTACCAAACCTTTCCATATTTCTTGAGAACCTTCAAATCCTATTAGTTTATTTCGTTATACGTATAAATATTGTTGATGGCAACGGCTAGAAAACGTACAGGTCTAGATAGTCACCACGAAGATGCGGCCGGAATAAAACTAACAAAA